CTGAGCAGTCCTTAGCTAGAGGAAGAGAGATTATGATTTGGTATGATCAACACTTTTAATATAGTTACAGTATAAACCCCACGTGTGTCTGAGGGTTGAGATGTGTGTGTGTCATATGTGTATATATATCATACAATAGGAATTACGATTACGTTAAGTTAATGATCATTTTCACCTTGTAAATTGAAATCAAATTTACAAGGATTGACTGGTTTGAAAAATCCTTGTAAATTTTATTTCATGTTACAAGGTGAAAATGGTCATTAACCTAATGTAATCTTAATTCCTATTGTATGAAATATGTTGCTCAGTTTAATTAAAATATTGACCTCTATGTGTGAATCAGTTTTAGCATTTAATATTTAATATTTTGTATTGTATTAATAGGATTCACTTGGATTATATACCATCGGTTTACATATATATATATATATATATATATATATATATATATATATATATATATATATATAATCCAAGTGAATCTTATTAATACAATACAAGATATTAAATATTTTAATAATTTAAGCTCTATATCTGTCGGACTGTTTTTTAAAAATAAAAACAAAAATACTAAAGAACTCCGGATTATTTACCTAACGTGTTCATTCCTATTTTTCTACATATCTGCACGCACACGCACGCACGCACGCACGCACACACACACACACACACACACACACACACACACATATACACACACACACATATATATATATGTGTGTGTGTGTTCATGTTATATATATATTCATACGAAATATAAGTTACACACAAACATACATTAAAGTAGTAAGTATGGACACAATGAGATCTACAAAGATCCCTAATCCCTGTTGCAGACCTCTGCTCACGCACATTTGTGTTTCTTCCACAGAGCTAACTAGTGGCTTATCTGCAGAGTCGACTTTAATTACAGTTTCTGTGAAAGATTTAAAGCAGTTTGAACGAAGCCAGTTCACTCAATCACTTAAACACGCTGCCTTATGATTTCGTGCCAGTACAGCCATGAAATGATTCATAACTGTTTAGTCTATCAAATTCTCTTCAGGTTTCATTTTCATTTACTTCCTGGCAGTGCCGTAAGATTTGGATAGTCACACCAGGATGATATTAAAAAGCCATCTCTTTGACCTTAGGTGTTATGGTCGGAATCCTACTGATCTAAACACTCAGCTGAGTGCCTTGTACACACACACACACACACACACACACACACACACACACACATATATATATAGAGATATACATATACATATAGGGTGCGATGGAGAAATTGTTGTCATTTTTAATTTTGCGCGTGCATGTTGTTTGTTTTTGATTTTGTCGACTGCACAGTATAGTGGGTGTCAGTTCGGCAGTATCTGTGAGAAAAAGAGCACCATGGTTCAATTCACTCTGCCAGAAATTTGGAAAAGTTATGTTGTACTGCTTGGCATTCGCACCGGAAACTCCAATACGAATATTTCAGAGTGTTTGGGAGTCAATCTGAAGAGACTGCAGAGCATTCAGAAAGAGTTGGATGAATCTAATGGTGATTACGAAGGTACGGCAGCTCGATCGTTCGTAATTTTTTTTTCCAACAACTGAGACCCTTCTAATCATTTTCTATTCGTGTAGGACTATCGTATGACTAACATTAAATATCTCACCGAGTTCCCAAGCCGTTGTGACAACATTTGCTGTAATTGCAGCTTCCAAATCCTCTGAATCGAGTCCTTTTGGACGACATTCTATTGGTTCGTCCTGCAGACTAAAAGTCCCAGTTCTGAAATGGGAAAATCACCTCTGACAAATTCTTTCCCTCAACGCATCCACCCCCATAAGCGCGCTGGATGAATTTTGCTGCCGTACTTGTGTTGAAATCTTTATAAAACTCATAAAATACAATATTTCTATGTTCTTTAGTTGGGGGCCAACATGGCGGTTAATTCCGAAGTATATTAGGAATATTATTCTCATAATCTGAATGAAAAAAGATACAAATTATTCATATTACTATTGCTAAACAACACAACGCGGTAATACTTCAATAATATTTATTCAACATTTTCAACTCAAAAAACATACAAACTTTTGTACCAACCTGATAGTTTAAAAAGAACAGGATCACCTGAATAAAATAATCTATAAATTAAAGTTTAGAAAATAAGTAGCAATGATTTTATTTTTGATTTTTTTTAAATCGTTGGCTTAGATATTAAATATTTAATTATTAATATATATATATATATATATATATATATATATATATATATATATATATATTTGTTTTTTTCTGTTAATTATATTTATATATATATATTTGATATTATTAGTTTTTTCTTTTTCAATTATTACATTTTTGTCAAAGGCAAATATTTCTCAAGAAGAATTAAACGATAAATAAAAAATTGTTCAAATTTATTCGGTTTAGCCTTTCTTTCAGTAACGTTTGATTTCATTTTCCTATACTATATTTTAAGTGAGCCTTAGTTCACTACTCAGATCGTGCTTACCTTCTATGACCATTAAGCAAACAAGATGAATAAGAAAAAAAAATCTCATTGGCGGCTACTGTTATGTTTTGTTTTTTTTTATACAGCTTATTTAACGGTTGTAGAACTTAAAAATCAATCTGAGCTTTGCGATAAAATAGAAGTAAAAACGTGAAAAATTAATAATAATTTGTAATTTATTAAAAGAAATTATTTTAAAAATGTATTTATTTGTTATTATTTATTATGTATCACTCTGTGATTATTATTTTTATTTATTATCATTTATAATAATTTATAATATTATATTATTGTTGTAACCTACGGAAGGTTACTGAATAGAATAAACACACGAAGGTTGGTAATGAACAATAATACTTAGGACAAGAACAACACATATAAGATTCGCCAGCGGCGCGTAGAATTAATAGTAAACTAGTAGAAGTGAGTCAAGTGAATTCCACAATGAATCTCCAATTGCAGGATATCGGGATCGGGTAGCGGTTTCCCGAGACGAGACTCTGTCCTTCGTCATAGCATCGTCTGGGGACCCTCTCTGCCCGGAGTCAGAAAGTTTGACCTACACAGCTGGAGACGAATCTCCGACTGCAGACCAACATACAGTATTTACTACTGTATTTATGTGAATGGGGACATACCTATTATCGTCCTTAGGTATGCTACAACAATAATATATTACATATATCATATATTATAATAATTTATATTATTTTTCATATTATTATTAGATATTTATTATTAAATTTACTTTATTTAATTATTATTATTATTATTATTATTATTATTATTATTCATAATACTTTATATTAGAATATTATGTTATATAACAGGGGTGGGCAAACCGCAGATTGAGGGCCACATACTGCTATTTGACCTTTAAATATCGAGGAAATATGTTGGCTGAGCTCCTTTTTTTCATCATAGTTAATATTAAAGGTTAAATAAGAAAAAAATTCAAGCTTTATAATTATTTACTGGGTATGAATTGAGACCCCATTGGATTAAAACATAAGTTTAACATTCGTGGTTAGTAAAAATATTTAAGAATTTAAATCCTAATTTTAATGCTAGAGCTGAGTGAGGCATTGTTCTTTACTGCTGGGGGAAGGAATGGTGGGAGGCAGAGGGATTAAAGACATTTCCGGTGAGCAACGGTTACAGAGAAATGCCAGAAGACTGAGGTCGTGGGTAAGGGAACTGCGCTCACGTCATGTACATATATAATTTTCTATTACTGAAATACCAATTCTTAGATTTTTCTTTGAAGTTCCCGTAGTTCATTACCGTATTAAATGTGCTCAATATAGTTAAAATAATCATCAGTCAAGATTTTGAAAATAATATATATATATGTTTGTGTGTGTGTATATGTGTGTGTGTGTGTGTGCGCGTGTGTGTGTGTGTATTTTGTGGTTTTACTGAAACCAATTTTACTGAAGCCAATAGAAATTTAGTTTAAATACAAAATGCAATTTCCTTCCTAGGTATGACGTTAAACTACATACGCATCCTGGGTAAGACGATAAACTACGTCCAGCAGCAAGGCCTCTGATCAAGAGGTTTTGAGGAGCGTGGAACCACCTCCTAATTGCTGGTCTTACCAGGTCCACCCTGACTCGGGGTGTTAGCACCTGTGCTAATAGTTAACCCCGAAACTGGGTTAAAACCACTATGAAAGTGTAAAAATGGGTTTTGGTACCATAAATACTTTGTAAAAGGTTATTACCAGTAATAAATTTTTGAAGAAAAAAAGTATTACCAGCAATACATTTTTGAAAAAAAATATTACCAGCAATACATTTTGGAAAACATTATTACCAGCAATACATTTTTGAAGGGAAAATAATACCAGAAATAGATTTTTGAAGGAAAAAATATTACCAGAAACAGATTTTTGACAAAACAAAATAGTAGCAGCAATAAAATTTTTGTCGGCATTAAATAACCCATTGAGGTTGATAAGCCGTAAAACAAACCAAACCAAACAAAATACAATTTTTAAAAAACTGCATGCATGAATAAATATTATTACATACATGCATTTCTTAATATTTATATAAATCTTTTGTAACAAAATATGTATGTAACAAAAGCGTGTAAGTAAATTGTGTTCCTGTCTCGCGGCTCTCAAACATCTAAACTTTATTGTATGTGACTCTTATATTAAGCAAGTTTTGCCATCCCTTTATTAAAATATTATATTGTATTATAATTTATATTATGTTATTATTATCATATTTATAATTACATGTACTTTATTATTATTATTAATAATAATAATAATAATAATAATAATAATAGCAAAAGTAGTTGTTGTAGTAACATATTAAAAATGTACTTAAAAAAGTAATTCATGGACGTTTCTTTACTTTTATAGGCTTGTTGCCTTAGGATTTTGTTCTTTTTTTATTTTTGTTTTTTAAGATTGGAAAACCGATTTAAAAATCAGATGCTTTTTTTTTGCTTTGCAAAGACAATAAAAATTGCTAAAATTTATATAAACGAATGAAGAAGCGAGACCCGGAAGAAGAAAAACCGTGCGAAAAGGACGATAAGATCGCTGAGGAAATCCCAGTTTGCCAGCAGAGGTCGCTGCTGTGTCGGCAGACAACAGAGAACATGGCGTCGGGGCACTGCGAGAAGGTCGCGACCAATCAACATTTGCCTTCCATCCATCCTTCCGTTGTTACATCCGACTGGTGATCGAAGACGACATTCAAAAAGAGAAGAGAAAAAAATGTAAAGAAAAACAAACCCTTAACTTTTTTATGTATATTTGTATATATTTATAAATGACCAGTTTTTGCAAAAGATTTGTTCGTTTGTCAGGCAACTGGCAGGAAATAGTGCAAAGCGTGGTAGAAAGTATCGTCTGCTGTCGTCCCACCGATACCACCATTGTGCCGTCGCTGTCGACGATCTAACAGCCGCCATTATGGCTTCGGAGTAAATTGTTTGGTTTCGCTAACGATTGTCCAAGGAATATATTTTTATTATTATTTTTTTTTATTGCATTATTTATTTATTTATTTATTACTCTTTTCTTAGCTACTTTTATTTTTATCTTTTTGTTCTTCCTCTTGCCGTTTTTTTTTTTTTCGGCTTTTATTTCGTAAAGAATTTTTCCTTTCTTTTTTGTTTCCATTATTTTAATTCGATTCTCTCTTTTATTTTCTCGTTTTTATTATTATTATTATCATCATCAATTTATTCTTAATTCTTTTGGATTTTCTCTGTTAGCATTTTTTAAATTCTTTTTTTTTTTTTTTTTTTTTGTTCGCCTCCTTATCCTGTTTTTCTTTTTCTTACTTTTTCTTTCTTTTCATCTTTCATTTTTTTTCTTTTTCCCCAATTCTCTTTATATCTCTTTGTCACAGTGTTTCTCTTTCAGATTCCTTTAGCTTTCTATTCATTTATTTCCATTTTATCTCCTCCTCCTCCACCCACCCCAGCCACAACAAAATTTTCTCTTTTCTTTCTTCCCTATTTTTTTTTCTTTAAAAATCTGCCCTTCTCCAATTACTGACCAGCGTTGTTAGGAAGACAGTCAAAAGAAAAACCCTTCCGGCTTCCGGCTATCGTCCTAACCGCCAAATATGCTCTAATTTCTTTACGTTTGCTTTTTGCAAAGAGTGATCTTTTCAAAACGTTCTCCAGCCGACCTTTTCCCACTGACCTATGGCCGATTGGTCCGGACAATGCGGTGATTAGTTCCAAGCCTCCGTCCGCAGAAATTTCAGGAAAAGAATTAAAGGAAACGGCGAATGGCGCGCGTTTATAAGCAACCGGCAATAGAGAAACTTGTTTGGAATCTTAGACTGTTTGAAAAATCAGCTCTTGATTTTTGGTCAGCAGTCCACGCGGCTTGATGTGGACCTAGGCCAGGGTCTGGGACCGGGAATGGACCTGACATGAACTGACCAGCATGTTATCAATAGAGCTTGTTAGGGAAAATATAACAGGCCATTTGCATTGATTTCTGTAAATAGAAGTAACAGAAATGAAAGCGATAATAAAAAAAGATGTTTGCCCTGAATATTTCACTATTTCCCTGTGGTACATAGCATTTAGGCATAGCCGATTGTAAGAGAAATGTGTATATGGAAGGGGTGGTCGCACTAGCGAGGGAGACGGTTGTCATCCTAGCAGTGGAATGGTTTATGGCTAGTGACGTTAGTGTTGACGCTGAAATAAGAATAAGTGATGATGCGATGTTTTTACTGGGGAGGGTGACGATAGAGGTCAGAGGTCATGAAGGCAAAATACAAGAAAAATGGACAATGGCCAGTGGGCGGCCGTGTGAGAAGCCCAGAGGATGGACATTGAAATTGGCGTGTATTGTGTGTGGGGGAAATGGTCAGAGAGTAAGCGAGGGCAGAAAATAGATGGAAAACATAACAGAACTAATGCAGGACAAGCCAGAGATAAAAAAAAAAATGCAAATAAAGAAATCGGTGAAAGAAATGAAAGAAAATAACATTTTTTATAGGGAACGACAATATGGTGCAAAATGAACAGAATCATGGGTACACAAAGAAAAAAGAGAGACACCAAAACAGCGTAGATAAATCAAGAGAAAAAATAATTTTATAAGCATATATATATATGCAAAATACATGTTTACTTATCCGTCCTAATGTGTGTATATATATATATATATATATATATATATATAGTTTAAAATTCAGGAGGTCAATTAAAATACGCGACAGCGGTTTCGACCTCGCGGTCTTGTCGGGCGATAATTTCAAAATGACCACTTCAACGCTTTATTTTAAAAAAAAGAACGCTACATAATTATTTTTCAAAAAATAACTAGCGTACAATGGCGTATAATGACTGAAAGACAGAACATTGGGTGTAAGGGAAGTGTATTTAATTCTGCCAATTAACCTTTACACACACACACACACATATATATATATATATATATATATATATATATATATATATATATATATATATATATATATATATGAAATGGACTATGTCCGACAATTATTTTAATATATTTATTGTTTAAGCCGGTAAATGTTGTTAATAGTGTTTATTATAAACAGAAAATTTACTTACGATTGCATCTAGCATGAAATAGACTGTCGCCTCTTAGTGCTGATGTTCACTTTTTTATATATATATATATATATATATATATATATTCAGAGAGAGAGATAATATTAGTTGTCAATATATATATATATATATATATATATATATATATATATAAATTCCCAAGAGGATAGAATCCAGGTAGAACTGAATGTCCAGGACAGAGTAATAATATAATAAAAAATTCAAACACTAATATTCCATGGTTATAATTTATAACCATGGAATATTAGTGTTTTCCTTTTTTTATTATTATTATTATATATATATATATATATATATATATATATATATATATGATAAAACATGTAGTTTTAAGGTTTTCTATATTTCTAGATAAAATTGATAAAGCGTGTGTGAATATAAAAGTGGACAATGAGGTCAAAACCGAGTGGCGACAGTCAGATTCATGCTTGAACGCAATCTTGAGGCCTGAAGATTGCTTTCAAACTTGAGACTGACTGTCATTATTCGGTGTTGACGTCAGTGTCCACTCTCATATATATATATATATATATATATATATATATATAAGGATGGTCTGAAAGTAATTACTTCAGACCAAAAAAGATTTAAAAGTTGAATTTAAGATATTATTTATTAAAAATATAATCACATTCATTCTCAATGACTACAGCTCAAAAGGAAGTGAATTTTTTATTCCATATCTAAAGAAATCTGATATTTTTTCCAAATATGTTTGAATAACTATTTCAATCTTCAACATATATACACACACACACACACACACATATATATATATATATATATATATATATATATATATATATATATATATATATATATATATATATATATGATGTGTTTTGAAAAAAACTGGTATATATTTACGAAATTCGAACGAAAGAAAGAGGTCAAAGGAAGCTAATAAATTGATCGTGGCCTAACCCAATGATAAGGGCTCACCGTTCGATCACCGATGTTAATCTACGTCGAGTCCTGATCAAAAACCAGGGGCTCTAACCTTGGATGCGCCGGTTGTGTAATGAAAAATGGCTCGGAATGTTTAATCTGAGAGTCGAGTTTCAATTCCAGTTGGCTTCGTTATATACACTTAAGCCCAAATACCCTTGGGAAAGGTATGAATCCACATCTTCTTTTCTCAGCTATGGGTTAATTATTAAGCCGTGTATCACCAAATCATTATTATCTAAATAAATAAAAATTCTTAAAATCAAAAAATATTTTCTGGCTTCAAGTGACCTGCAAATGGTTTATAAAGCCATAGAAAATGAATGAATTAATCAATCAATGCTTTTATTGAAGTGGCACCTGTTCATACAATAAAAAAGATACCACAAAGAAATAATCATTGGGGATAAAAATGCAATAAAAAAGCTATTACTGGGCAATAAATATAAAAAACATATGAAAGAAAACAGAGTAAAAGGGTATCTACAACGGAATAATGAAAAATAACCAACACTAACGCAATGATATTTAGTACAAAAACTTTTTTATCTACATTCTAATTCAAAAGATTATATCCGAATACTAGCAGTATGGCCCGGTGTTGCCCGTGCTTGATTCAAAAATCGTACGACTCATACAGCAATCGCTATCACTTCATTTAAAATATTTTTACCCTTCCTTGCCTTTAAAGAAGTGCCCTTTTCCGTGCTGATGTTGCTACATGCCTTACTTCTTGCCTATCTCACACTGCGAATTTTTTCTAAGCTCTATACTAAACATTAAATCTGTTACGAAAAAAGAACTAAACAAAATGAACACAAAACGATCAGCTTTAAAAAAAGATTCGTAACTGGAAAAACCGAATGAAAAAAAATGTTAACAACAAATACTTTTCCACACCCAACCTAGTTCTACGGAATCAGAATCAACGTTGAATTTAAGCAAGCGAATGAGCCAATTGGAGTAAAGTGCCATGCAAATTTAAATTTTTCCCACTTGTGACGAATGCAGCTACCGAGTTTTTTGGGTTTTTTTTGCATTCTAGCATGCTAGTTAACATTCGTGTCAGTCAGCTGTTGGCTCTCACGCTGGCCAATAGAATCTTCCTGCCTATTCGTGGCAGCCAGCTATAGGCTCTCACTCTGGCCAGTACAAAATGGCCGCAAACTACGTGAAAACTGCCGTAGAAGGATGAAAAAATCGATTATTTCCACTATCGATGGAAGTTGGGAAATGCAAAGTCGGTCTTGGCCTTCCCACTAACTTGGAGCATGTGCATGTAAATTTTGGTGCAAATCCGTCGAAAATTGTGGCCGTGCATTCATTACACACACACACACACACACACACATCCTTGATAAAAGACGGCAAAATAGTGAACAGCGAAACATATATTACCTTAATATGGACGCACCTATTACCAGATATAGCAGAAGGTTAAATATTACAATGTGATGGAGTAAGAACTCCTACATATAAATACATTTCACACGGAGGAAGATACTGCGGCGTTACAGAATTGCCCGAGATTTGAAAACTCGTATATTTAACAGAAACAATGTTAAATATTTCTTTTACATATAATCTATGGACTCAGGCAGACAATGTTCAAAGCAGATATTATTAGAGACAACAGAAATTTTGTGTTGTAAAGTTTGCATATATTTCTCGTAGTTTTCTTCTGAAATTAACTTCGAAATATTTCAGACAGAACTTAATACTTGACTGAGAAAGATTTTTTTTTTAATTTGAAAAAGTCGATCATTAAAATTAATCGATACAAAATACCTATATATATACAAATTTTTTTTTTTTCACTTAGCTGATTGGTGTTAAATTCACCATCGCGACTCCAGAGTTTCGTAGACTCACTCTCCAACAATCACTTCGTACACTCGTCAGGGGTTATCAGCAATTGACTGTTAATATTTTTTGTTTTTTCTTTCGTTATATATATATATATATATATATATATATATATATATGTGTGTGTGTGTGTTATTTTTGTTATTATATGAGCATTCTTAATAAAGAAAATGTACTCTCCAGTAGAGTGCGAACCTGCATCTCCTTTGTAGGGTAAACCAGCCTGATCCGAAGGTAGACGTAATTCACACATTTTAAAAAACGGAATGTCTACTTAAACATGTGTAACCACTAAAATAACGTTTAGAGTAATAAGAAATACCGTCAGATTATAAATGAAATCTAATGATCCTTAGATATATATATATATATATATATATATATATATATATATATATATATATATATATATATATATATATATTCTGTATTGGTGAAAAATTTTATTATGATTTTTAAATGGACATTTAAAAGCATATATGAATATATACAC